GAACCCCCTCAGAGGTCTTGCTGTGTTTTTTGGTTCTGTGTTCAGGCTTTGTGCACCAGAATAAATTGAGCTCTGCCTTCATGCAGAAAGTGTCTGCTGCAATGAGTGTGGAGAGCAGGATGACAGCACACAGATCTCAGGAGATGTAAGCATACATCTACCATTCAGCTTTATTTTGTTTTGGTTAAAAAATAAATCTTGCTTCTGACAGGCAGCTACTGGAGATTTTAATCAAAGCACTCAAGTCTGCACGTGCTGCACAAGCACTTGGACACGCTGGCTTCTCCTGCGACAAATGAGGATTCCTGTGGGGCCTGGAATCTGAGCTGAGACGTGTGGGGCTTTAAAGAGGGTGTTTGGTCAGGGGTAGGTCTGGGAAATCGGGCTGCCCAGTGATGCAGGGTGCTCAGGAATCCCGAGCTGCACCGGGCACAAGTTCTGCCCTGTCCCGTCCTGCCCGTGCCCCCTCCCCGCCCGGCTGGGTCCCTTGTGCAGCACTGTGAGATCACTCACTCTCTGCCTCCCCTTTGCCATGCCCCACAATTTATCGTCAAGCCTCCAGAAAAACCCCTTGACCCCAGTGCAAAGAAATGGTGGCCCATGGATCAAGACAAGAGCACGTGCCAAGGTATTTTTTGCGCTGCTCAAGCGAGGATGAGGATGGCAGGTCACACTCGGTCACTCTGCAGGATGGCTCTGCTCTGCACCCTGATCCTCAGAGTACAGCCCCGACTTTACAAATTTTCATTTCTGCAGTGACTCAGTGATTGCTAAATAGGAATATTACATTAAATAGGCCTCCTCCAAAGTGTGCACTTGAGGATATTGATTTTCTGTGCTAGACAGCAAAGGAGAGGAAAGGAAATGACTGGCAACCTTCAAAATACTGTTACGGCTATGATGCTCTTCTCAGAAACACCCAGCCTGGAACTGCCCACACTTGCAGGCATTCCACATCTCCCAACACAGTCCAAACTAACCCAAACTCCAAGGGATTGATTTTCATCTACTGAACTGGTGTTCCTTCATGCAGCTTTTAACTTTTCCACTTCCCAAGCAGTCACTTGGTTACTCTTAGGCGCTGGTTAACAGTTTCAAAATCCTGGATGTGTTTCCTAATGTTTGGCTCAGTAACCTGATAGCCTCCAGCCCCACTGCTGTGGCCACAAGCACTCCTGCTGTCTGCAGATGCCCGTGGAGCTGTGCCATTCCTCCGTGCCGGCCTGGGCAGGTGAGGCAGAACCACGGGGAGTTGGGCTGTGTGGTGCCCGCTCGGCCCACCTGCTCCAGGTCATTAATTCCTTAGCGTAGTCAGTCCTCACTGAAGTTTGGCCGATGGTGGTGTGTGCCCGCCTGCCAGCAGCGCTCTGCCCCGTGCCTCGGCACCTGCAGGGCTTGGCACGCTGAGACGCCTCCACGGAGGCCGAGCCACGGCTCAGATGTGTGAGACGAAGCGGATGCGCTGGGAGTAGGCCAGGTCCAGCACATAGAGCAGCAGGTTGACATAGGTGAAGATGGCAATCACCAGCTGGCTGTCCCAGGGGCACTTGCCCTTGGCACAGAGGCCGGGCCGTCGTGGGGAGCCGTACTTGCTGTCAAAGCAGAACACTGGCCAGATGACCGCAGCACTCGCGTAGAGCAGCACGGCCCCAAAGGTGTAGATGACCACCGAACGCTCAAAGGGGAACCACAGCAAGGCAGTCTTACCTGTGACACTGAAGGCCACCACCACCACCGTCACCACAAAGCAAAAGCTGTAGACAGCCACACACCACTGCGTCGCCACGTATTTACCGTACTGGCTGTCGTTCACCAGCGCCCCAAAGATGATGCAGGCCACGAAGGCCTGGACGATTTTCAGGAGGCCAGAGACGGTGGCCATGTAGCTGGTGACCTGTCCCGGCTTGGCCCTGGTCAGGAACACCTCGGCAGCGTAGGCCAGGAACAGCAGGCCCGCGAAGACGCTGGCGGCGATGCGGAAATCCCTGACCTGGCAGCCGATGGGGTAGCAGCCCGCCTGCACGAAGTAGAGCGGGTAGATCACCGCCGCCGTGACCGACATGAGCGTGGCCAGCATGGCAAAAGCCGCCGTGAAGTTCCCCCAGGAGAGGCTCAGGCAGCTGTGCAGGCGTGTGAACTCGCAGGCGATGATGAACACGGTGACGGCGAAGCAGAAGGTCCAGACGAACATGCAGAAGGTGCCGTAGGCGGCACTGAACCCCCCTTGGTGGGCGACCAGGCTGAAGGTGGCGCAGCCGAAGGTCATCTGCAGCAGCCGGGCTATTCCCACCGGGGAGGTCACGGCGGCCGTGTTGAGGTACGGCCCTCCCGTGCTCTCCATCATGCTGCGGCAGCACAGGGCGCTCCGAGCCGCCCCGAGCTCCGTTCCGCCGCCGCGCCGCAGTCACACCTGGTGCCGGCTCGGCCCGGGCCCCGCCGGCGCCTCCGGCCGCAGCGGGAGCCGCCCGTGACGCGGCATCGCCGGCAGCTCCGCACCGACCCGCGGCTGCCGCCGGGCTCTGCCCACCGCCGGCGCGCTCCGGGCGCGGCCGCTCGCCCTCCGCTCCCTCAGCTCCGGGACCGGCCCCAGGGCTGCGCTCCGGCCGCCGCCTTCCCCTCGGGATGGGGCTTTCCCCCGCAGGCTGACATCTATTCCATTTTAGCTCCGCAGCTGTAGCTTTCTGCTGCACCCTTCACAGGAACCTGCAGTATAAATAGGGGCTTTATTAATAGTTCTGGAATGAGTCCTGCCCCCGCTCAGCTGTTGGGAGCGGGTGTTATTTAACACTGGGGTTGCGAGCTCCATCAAAGGCTCCTGATTATCCTTGTGCTGCTCTTGCAGGAGCTCTGGGGTCGCGGGAATGCTGCTGCTCGCGGAGGGGAGCTCTGCCTGCGATCCACGAGCACTCAGTCCTGCACACCCAAGAGCCCCTGAGCGGGGGCACAAGCCCAAAGGCAGCACAAGCCCTATAAAAGAAGGGATTTAGGCCAGAGGCTGAATAAAAGCTGACTCACTTTGCTGCAGTTGATCTGGAGCAGCGATACATTTACCTGCTGTGCTTTGTGCGACAGCTTGTGGCTGTGAAGGTTGACAAGCGCCCGTCCTCAACATTTCCTGAAACCCTTCCCTGTCTCTCTTTTACTTATGTGGGAATCAGTTTTTCTTGTATCTCTGAATGCAGTAACTGAATACAACTGTTAAAAAAAAATTGCTTTGATATTCTTAGCACTGTTTTGGAACACAGATTTTAATAAATAGTGTAAAACTCTCCCTCCTGTGAGATCAAAGCTTTCACAGTGAGCCATTCCTGGTATACAGTGCCTCCCAGACTTCATCTCTGCCCAGAAGTCTCTTAATTATATCTCTAAAAGCCCCAAACAAAATTTCTGATGCAATTTCAGAATGGGAATGCGTGAATGTTTTCACCACAACATAGCAGAGAAATTCCTCCCTTGCCCCAGAGCAGCATTGCTGACTCCTCACCTGCAGTACCCATCCCAGTATGGAAGCAGCAAAACTTCCCGGCTGGAATGGCTCACATGAAAACAGTGCTTTTTTTGGCTATAATGGTAAAATGTGCCTACCTTCAGCTTTGTCACCATCTTGTAACCTCAGTATCTCTTTCATTCATCTCAAGTCCCTTCCATTTTCCTTTGAGAGGCCTCTGGTGCTAAAAGTACAAAAGCCTGCATTCATTTGGGGTGGAAGCTGCACCATTAACATCACAATAACCAGGAAATGCAGCAGGAGGGCTGAGGCACTTCAGGTGAAGAGGTTCTCATACCGAAATCTTGCCCTACCTGACTGTCTATTGATGCTTCACCTCCAGCAGTTTTCAGGGTCTCTTTGTCAGGGGTCACTTTCTGCCCTGTGGCACCGTGAGGTGCATCCCCTCGCTCTGCTCTGCCCGGGGACAGGGACACTCAGGGACACCGGGGCTCAAGGCAGAGCTGCTCCTGCAGCTTCTGCTTCCCGTGGCAAGTGGAGCCCCTCTGGAGAGCCCTCAGCACCAGCTGGTGCTGGCAGAGGGCAAAGGTGCCCGAAATCAGAGCTCACACTGCGGGCAGCACACCTCACAGAGCACAGCCTCTGTCCCCTCAGAAATAAAGAACCGATCCAGTCAAAAGATCACAGAGTACAAACACATGGTACTGAAGACTTCCAGTCTTGCCCTTTTGTCACTGGCTTCTGCACAGCACAGAACAGATGAAAAGCGTAATCAGGACAATTCTACTTTTATACTCAAGTCAGTAAAACATAAAGGATATCAGTAATCTCCAAACTGATCACAGGCAAACTCCACTGATGTTTTCCTGCTTTTCAGTTTCACTGTGAGCACCAACCCTTTTCTCTTTAGTTTATCTTCAGTCTGTGTTAATCCCATCATGCACAGCAGGACAGCTGATTATGGTGATCTGCGTGTGGTCCTGCCAGACTTTTCCTGAGGTCCAAGAAGAGGAACCAAAGGGCAACAGTTTGGTTCATTTTTTTGGTTTACTTACCCAAGAGATCACACACAGATGAGGCAGGAGCCGTGCACAGCAGTGCAGGCACACTCAGGTGGAGCTGTGCAGCAGTGCAGGTGCACACAGGTGAGGCAGCAGCCGTGCAGCAGCCGTGCAGCAGCCGTGCAGCCGCTGCTGGGACAGGGCTCCCTCGCCCTGCCCTGCAGGCTGAGGCTCTGCTCTCTGCTCCAGCCCCCGCTCCTCTCCAGCCTCAGCCCTGCATTCTGCATCCCTCCCTTGTTCTCCTCCCACTGCCATCAAAGGGGATTCTCCCTGCTGTGGTAGGTGTGCTCCCAAATTATTACAAGAGAAATATGTTGGTGCTTGTCTTGTGTTCTCTGCCCTTTCTGCTCCAAATGCTTCTGATGCTCGGATCAAACATTTCCCTCACAGGGAGAGAGGCCTTTGCAGCAAAGCCAGATCTCCCACCACCTTACAGGGCAATGCCCTGGACTACCTGGGGAATCACAGTGAAAGTCTGCAAACATCAGGCGCTGGGTGAAAGTCTCTGTACTTAAACCTTACATTACAACCTCTTCATCAGAGAAACAATGACAAGGCACACTGCAAGGGGAACACAGAAATCTAATTAATACAAAACATCACCACCACCCTTAGCCCTCTCCCAGGCACAAGTGACCATCAGGATAACCCATCCAAATGAGCAGCATATACAACTTTACAAAGACATACGTATGGTTCTCTGGTCAGCCCTTATAAATAGCGTTTTACATATTAAAATAAATATGTCCACGTTGCCAAAGTAGCAAGAGGTTTCTTCGTTATTTAAAAAAAAAATATGTTACAATATCCTTTATATTTCTTGCTTAGTTTAAAAAAGTAATTAAAAAGTCATTTTATAAAATAATATGAATAAATTGAGTACAAGAGTGTCCATCCCTAGCACGTGTCCTGGGTCTGTATACTGTGATTCAGCATGAGATGCTAACCTCCAGGAAGTAATGTAACCATTCCTTCGCTCCTAGTTGGACAGAAGAAATCCAGTGCTTGCTTTTTTCACCACTTGTAACAAGTCTATGATGTAAAACTGATGGCAAGGGAAGATGTCCCAGATCTGGGGAAGGTTCTCATCGCTGCTATTTATGGCTTTGCTACTCCCTGTATCTGACTGCCTTGTGTAGCACAGGAAGAGGATGTGACCAGCTGAAACTTAGCCCTGGAGTTTGGAGGAAGGGAACAAGTTCCAGCCAAACAATGTAAGCAAGAAATTGCTGCTTGCCTTTTTTTTTTTCCTTTTTTCTTTTTTTTTCTTGACACACCATAAGCGTGCAAGAGTGTGGGAGCATGTGAGTGCACAGGTGTGAGTGTGCCATGGGTATGAGCATGCATCTGCCTGCAGGAACATTAGGAAGAAGATTAGAAAGTTTGGGAGAAGTGCTGAGAGTCTCTCTCCTCCTGATCTAATCTCTGCCCCTCAGACCTTTCTAGTTACCACTGCTGAGCATCCCCAGGAGTTTACTCGGCTCCAGGCCCTGCTGCTGTGCCATCTTCTGAACATCAAAACCCATGTGCATGAGGAACTGGATCACATTCATCTCCTGCCCTGTGAACTGGTCCCTGATTGTGGGGCACGAGGGGTTGCAGTGAGGCCACGGACAGCTGTCAATCAGGTGAATTGGGCAGCCTTTCAGAGGAGCTTTCCCATTCTTGTTGCTCTCGTGGAGGCTCCGATCCCAGCAGTGCAGGGCACGGGGCAATGATGTCCCCTTCACCTGGATGTCAGTCCAGTGACTGAAAAGACAAACAGTGCAGATGACATCAGAGGGGTCAGGCTGCCAGGACAGGGTCATCCCCATCCCTGTTCACCTCTGCAGGACCTGCACAAGCACTTACTTGCGTGTGATGATCTCGTGGGACAAACAGGCAGGAGCAAAGCTCGCACTAAAGGAAAACAGAAACATGGATTATGTGTTGAAGGACAAAGCAGGACCTGCTGAATTGAACCTCCCAGACTAGGGAAAGAGTGGAATTTTACACAAAAGAGAAAAAGGCAAGATTCTTGATGTAGATGAACTAATAGTTACCACATTTACAGCTCTCCTTTTTCAGCAGAGATCTGAGAACACAAGGAACTAGATAAGAACATCCTTTAGAAACAAATATGCCAGGTTTTTCTCAATGAAACACTTACGTCACATCCTTCAAGGTGTTTCTCAGCTCTCTACCTAAATTCTGGATGTAGAGCCACTGCCCTTCCTGAACAGGCTGGCCAGTGAGGTGCACATTGTCTACAGTAAGCTGGGCCTCATCGAACAGCCACTGGACAACAAAGACTGGGCCTGCAAGGACAAAAAGTTTGGAAAAGGGATTGCTCCGAGTTAGTTACAAATACAGAGGGAACCCTAAACCATTTGATCTCTCTCCTTTGCTACTTACATCGAAGAGTGGGGTAAATCTTATATCCAAAAAAGCAATTCCATTCCTCTCCCTCTTTAAACTGCAGCTTACAGCGTTCGGGAACAATGCCATTCCAGTATCTAGAGGAGAAAGCATTAAAAGAATGGGAGGCACAGGGCAATCCTAACAATGCATCCTCTCCAAATCCTAGTTCCTGTTCTGACTAGAATTTCAACTGATAGAACAGCTTTCTTGGCAGCACTGTCCCATCAACACATTTTAGAGCATCTGTAACTGTACACATTCTTTTGAACATTTAGACTTTATTGTCTTTTCCAATAAAATCATTGTAAAAACACCGATGTAGACAATAACTACTCCTTAAGTATCAAAACGAAGGAACACAGCGAAGGAGAACATCTTTTCCACACTCTAACCACTCAGAGCAGTGCACTTTAGAGCACCTGACTGTACCTTATTCCTCTCCTGATGGCCTCTGTGGGAGCACACGTTATGGTGTCGATGCAGTCGGTCCTGCGGTACTGTTTGTTATCCAGGAACCATCCAGAGTCTGCCAAGCCTCGCACCTGAATCCCTTGGTAACCCATCTCCTCCAGCTGCTCTGCCACTCGGTCCACGTTCAGGAGCACTCCTGTCCCTCCAGCACTGCAACAGCAACATCAGCACTGCGCTCACGAGGGGCTCAGGCTGTCACAGACCCTGCTGGCACACACACCTCCCTCAGCAGTGGCGAGCTGTGCACACCTGCATCTGCCACAGCACAGACACCCAACCATCCACCACCGCCCTGGGAGACTCCACATTATTTCCTTGCTTTGCAACGCTCAGAAATAAAACCAGTGCTGAATAATAGTCTGGTAGCCCAGAAACAAAGTCCAGTTGTTACTCTCTTTCCTGGGAAATACATGTGGTCTCCATCATTTCCAAGGGGGTTGGCTGTCCAAAAATGAAAAGAATCTGAAGTGAGACAAATTCACTCTTAGCAACTTCTCTATTACAGCTCTGTGTAATACACTGAGTGTACCAGAGCTTTATGCAACACAGGATGATCCAGAGCACCTGTGCGAGGCAAATTTGGTTTTTATTTCGGTGTCCTGAATCAATTCACAGGAGGCGTGTGTGATATAGGCCAACAGGATATGGGCCAACAGGAATCAGAATTCTTGGTGCAGATTTAAGAAAACTAACCAGAGATACAGGTTTGCTGCTAGTGTTACTGTACTCCTAGGAGAAATGTTTCAGGAGCTGCTGGACCTCCTCCCTTAAGAGCTTTCTACTGTGGAAAGCTCCTGACTTCAAGAAACAGAATCCTGTGGATACCTACCTGCTCCCTGCTAGCAGCAATACTTTTGCAGTGCTCAGGCCTTTTCCCACCAGCTCCTTTATAACCTCCTGTATGATCAGGGCCCCCATGAAGGCATATTCATCTGGAAGACAGCTCAGTGTCAACAAAATTGCTTCCTGTCCAGGCTCAGGCGTCTATTTCCTCTCTGAAAATGCTTAAAAAAATGAGCAGCCTTGGAAAAGGAAAACGAGAAGGAAGATGCTGCAGAAACAAACACAGACCTTCCTACCACCTGGAGTCTCAGTTCCAACTTACTGCTTCCCCTTTTTCCCAGTTCATGAAGCCAATTCAGAGAAGCAGTGCTTCACAAGATGTTACATGTACAAAGACACTGCTTCCATCCGTGGCTGCTGATGTGTAACGGCTCCACAGGAACAGGGCCAAGGAGCTGGGATGGAGTGGAAAGGTCCCTCCCTTACTGTGACACCACTGGGATGACAGTGGATGGCAATGCAGCCTGCATTAAATGAACGATGCTGTTTCCCAAAGAAACCTGCAGACAGCCTTAGCCTGACACACAATGGCTCCTGCCTAAGGCCAAGTATCCTCCTGATTAAAGTCTGACACTAAATTCCCAGTCCTGCCTCTCAGGTCAGCTGTGCTAAAGTTACATGCAACAGTCCACGGTCCAATTAATTTGCTACGTGCTGGAACCTGGATTCATCTAAAAGGAATTCTGGTCTTCTAATCCTCGCATACTGCATCAGTGTAACATCTCTTGAAGCAGTGGCTCTGAACTATGTCAAAACAGCCTGAGCTAAAGAGATCAGGATGTTTTATCTGGAAGTAGCTTGATATTCTTTCCTGCCCTTCAGCAAGAAAAAGCCTGTTTCTCGTCCGCGTGGTTTCACAGAAGTCTGGCCACATCCTTTAATGTGTGATGTCTGGGGCAGCAAGGGCCCATCAGCAACACTCACTTTTCTCAGACTTGGAAGAGGCACCGCTCCAAACATCACTTGAGCAATATGGGATGAATCTGTAAGAGAGAGCTGTGTGAGTCCTGCTGTGCCTCTGACACGCACAACAGGGTGAGGATGCGGTCACTTAACTGGAAGAAAAATAAATCCCGGGGAAAAGGGAAAAGTTTCTGTCCAGTTTGACAACTTACCTTCCTGCACACCAAGTGACAACTGTAATTTTCTTGAATTTTCTCCTCAACACTAATAGTTTTACTGAGTTAAATCAATAAATAACATGTCTTTTATCAATCTAATTGAATCACTAAGCTCAGTGGACAGAACGATGGAGCATGACTTTGCTCTCAGCTATTCTGCCAACACAGTGGATGGCCTGTCACAGGGCAACTCTCTATGTTTCAGTTTTTCACACGAAAATGAGAAGACTCTAGTCAGTGCAGTGTAAATGCTGACTGCAACCACTGGAGATTTTTGCAGGAATTAACTTCACATGTCTCTGTTTTGCAGAAGACAAATTAACATCCCTTCTGTATAGATGGATATATAAACTGGTGTCTCTCATTTCTCTTCTTCGAACTAGGAGAGCTGCTCCACATTCTTCTCAAATTGTCAGATGTGTAACACACTATCAGCCCAGCACTCATGGTGGATTCACCACTGCAGCTGTTTGACAAGGCTCTCTAAGCTATCCCCAGTTTTTCTTCATTAGATTACCCCACAACTCCAAGGAGATTGAACCTGAGTTTCTTGACTTTGTTAGCCCTAAGTGTTAGAGAGCTGAACTGAAGTAAATGAAGAATCACACAATTTCCTTTTCCAAGTATAAGTCTTAACCTGTCTCTGCAGCACTCTTGCTAGCCTGAAAGGCATGAGATGCTGTTTAAGTGTAAAGCTATTTCCCTCCGTTGTCCCTTCTTACACCATGTTTGCATTCCACCAGTGGGGATTTTCTTCTGGCTGAGAGGACAGGATCCCAGTTCCTGCAGATGGGCACAAAGAAACAAAAAACATACAGATGACAGTCTGTGATTTCAGAGGAATCGTAGGAACCTCATGCAAGACCTCTGACCACACAGAAAACAAACATCCATGATGAAAAACATTGGCAAGGGAAGTGGAAGGAACATTTCTAAATTTGCCCTTAGGCAGATTTGACATTCAGAATTTGATTCATGCTACAGATGAAACCCGTCTAGAAGCTTCATGTAGCACAGAACAGACCCGTGATGCCTGTTTAAGTACCTCCCCAAAAGACAAATCCTAGCAGGTAAATTCCAATACACTCAGTTAGACGATGTGTGTGAGTGACGGAGGTTTGGGTGCCCAGGAGGCTGCAGGGCGAGAGGAGAGCGAAGGGAGCAGCACTCATTACCGGCGGT